CAGGCAAGCATTAGAACACTGGAAGCACTACTTGCTTGGGAGGCACTTCAAAGTCTATTCAGACCACGAAACGTTAAGATGGTTGGAGACTCAGGCCAAGATGACACCTAAGCTGACTAGGTGGGCTGCAGAGATAGACCAGTATGACTTTGAGCTCAAGCCAGTTAAGGGCAAGTATAATATAGTTGCGGATGCTCTAAGTAGGAGATCAGACTACTTTGGTGCAATAGTCCATTATTTGGATATAGGAAAGGACCTGCAACAGAAAGTCAGAGAGGCATATGCTCAGGATCCTATCTATAGCAACCTCCTTAAGAGAGTAAAGGAGGCCCCAGAGACTGAACCACATTACCGCACTATAGAAGGGTTGTTGTTTGAGAAGACCGATGTAGTAGACCGCTTGTGCGTCCCCAATAGTGAAGAGATTCGTAGCCTGATCTTAGGGGAATGTCACGATACTGAGGGACACTTCGGTTGGCAGAAGACTCTAGCCAATCTGATGCGCGCGTACACTTGGCCAGGGATGAAGAATGACTGCATAGAATATGTCCGCAGTTGTAAAGTATGCCAGAGGAACAAGACCACCACGCGTGCCCCTCTAGGTCTTCTCAGATCCCTGCCTATTCCTGACCAGCCCGGAGATTCAGTGTCCATTGATTTCATGGACACCGGCGTCAAGAGTAGGCATAGTAAGAGCCAAGTCATGGTCATAGTAGAAAGATTTAGCAAGTATGCAGTTTTTGTTCCGTTGCCTGCGGAGGCACGTACAAAGTTAGTAGTTCAGAAGTTCTTTGATCATTGGGTCAGTGAACACGGGATTCCGCTGTCTATAGTTAGCGATAGAGACACCCGGTTCACTAGTRAGAACTGGCAGGAGTTGATGAGAGTATATGGCTCCAAGCTGTTGATCATCTGGCCGTCATCCAAAGACTAACGGCCGAACTGAGCAAATACAGCAAGTTCTGAGAATGTATGTTAGACCTGATCAGACTAACTGAGATGAGATGCTCCCAAAGGTAGCCAGTGCCTACAATAACAGCGTGCACCTGTCGACGTGTCGCACTCCCAACGAGTTACATAAGTCCTTTAGACCACGTAGACCGTTCGAGGGACTTAACCGGGATCAGATTTATAGGCTGCCGCCCGGTACTAGGGAGTTTGTGTTACAGCACGAGAAAGAATTAGCTACCGTTGTAGAGAACCTCAGGAAGGCCCAACATAGGATGATAGAACAAGCCAACAAGCATCGTCACCCATCGCAGTTTCAAGTAGGCGACTTAGTTTGGGTCAAGTCAAAAGAGTTTGCTCCTGAGGAGAACATTTCACAGAAATTACTGCCTGCGTATAGAGGACCGTGGCCAGTCCTAGAAGTCAAGGGCGGCGAGGATGGACCGTCCTACACTRTTGATATTCCAGCGCACCTCCACACCTACCCCGTATTTCACGCATCAAAGTTATTGTCATGTGTCACAAGTCAACAGTTTCCCTCTAGAAGGTCCATGATCCCTCCGGATATGGATGGAAGATATGACATTGACGGCATTGTAGGTGAGGATATATTCAGGACAGGAGGTAGAGGTCGTCCTCAGAAACAGTATAAGGTTCGATCCGCATATCAGGAACCGGAAGACGATCGCTGGTTTACTCGAACTGAACTTCTAGAAACAGCTCCCGGCATCGTCAGGGCCTACGAAAGAGATAGAAAAGGTAAAGGTCCTGCCTTGGACTGAGGTATTCTCGGAGGACCTCGAATTTAGGCCGGAGGCAGATGCAGATCCCAGGGTTTGATCCCCAGACCTTACCTCACCCATGTACAGTATCGAGTTGCCCTCTGAGTGTTTGAAACCGTGACCTGTGTTTCGCGAGTTGTTGTTTGTCTGTCGTAGGACTGTGTGTATGTAGGGATTCGATCTGTAGACCTGTTGAATAGAGGTCTTAATGAGTTCCAGAAGTCGGAGCTTTAGATGTCCTGAAGGGTCAAGGTCGTAGCTGCTACAGTCCTGAAAGGTCAAGGTCGTAGCTGCTACAGTCCCGAAAGGCCAAGTCCACAGACTTCCGGAAGGTCCGGAAGTGGCCTTTCACAACTTGCTCACGTTTTAGACTGAGCCAAGTGGGCAAGTGGGCAAGTGGGCAAGTGGTGGACCAACTGCAGTACGTTCGCAGTACGATGGCGGTAGGTTAGCAGTAGGTCCCCAGGCAGTCCACAGTGCGGTCCAGTCAGTCCCAGTCCAGTCCAGCAAGTACCATGGGGGACTGTGTGTACCATGGGCCGATGGAAAGGGGGCAGACCAACGAGTTACAGGAGTATAAATCAAGAGGCAGCGCACAGCTCCTCATTCATTCCTGTGGAAGCCATGCGGAAGCGCTGCCACGGTGACTTGTGCGAGGTGGTCTGCAGAGGAGCCTGAAGTCGAAGTGGGCTAGGAGGAGTTAGCGCAGCCATAGCTGCTTGTAGGTTAGAGTTAGTGGCGGCCATAGCTGCCATAGCTTAGTGTTAGGTGTGTGTGTGTGTGTGTACAGTGTGTGTGCGTAGGGTATCCAGGGTGATCCAGAGTTGGAGTGGGAAGCGAACAGTGGTGTTGGACACAGTGACAAGAGTTGCGATGTGTGGGTGCCGATGCACCGTAGCCTGTTGAAGCGAGCTTACATCTGAACTGTGTCTTGGTTTCCATATCTTCGAGCGCTATGCGCCAGTGTGATTCACCATCTGTTTGAATGCATGTGAAGTGACGAAGTATGCGAGTCTGATTGCAATGAGGAGAAGAAAATGAAAACGAATCGAATCAAGTGTCGCTGTGCCACGTGGTACGACGGGAGGAGGAAAGCGTAGGGGGATGAGGGAGGAAGAGGGAGGAGGAAGACAAGCGGTATGCCACATGGAACACGGCGGGAGGAGAGAGGAGAGGAGAGGAGGCAGGATGAAGGAGCAGGAAGGAGGATGAGTAGGAGGGAGGATGATGATTAGCACAAGAACAATGGCATGCGTGCTGGTATGCCACGTGGCACATGACAGGAGGCAGAAGGAGGAGGAGGGAGAAGGAGGAAGAGGAGAAGAAACGAGGAGGTAGAGGATGAGGGGAAAGGAGGAGGAAGGAGGAGCAGGAGAGAGGTGGATGACAAGGACAAGAAAAAAAATTGTGGGCCACGACAGGAGGAGAGTGGAGGAGGGAGGAGGAACAAGGTGAAAAACAAAACCGCACAGCGGTTCCCATGCAAGGGGGAGGTTGAGGAAGCTGCAGGGCGGGAGATGGCGGGACCGTCGAGGAAGATCCTAGCACAGAGAGAGAGAGAGAGAGAGAGAGAGAGAGAGAGAGAGAGTCTCCGAGTAGAATTCTATGCTGCTCATGTCATTCTGGACTGTGAAATTGATTTCTCTTTCGAAATTGATAAAGAATGATTTTCATAAAGAATGATTTTGTATGGCATGTGTTACAAATTTCAAGGAATTTATCCTCTTGCCATGTGTGTGCGGGCTTCTGCCCTCACTGGGAATGCTAGTCCCATTCAAAGCCAGATAGTTGAAAGCGGTCCAGAAAGCATAAATGCACTGATATCACACCGAAGGAGAACCAAAGCAGCGATCTCAATTGTCAATGAAAGCATACACTCGCTACCACCAACAATGCCTTTAAAGCTCTGCCTCCCTCCTATTTGGCGCGCAGGGCCCAGACTACGATCACACAGCTACTAAACTAGCCTATCCTAGTGATCCTAGTGACGAAGCATCTTTGAAATCTCTTCCGGATCCGGTTTGCGTTGGCAATAGACTCAGGCTCGCCCTTCTGATGAACTTGAAATAGGGAGACATCATCCACAATTCGTATCTTGAAACTAGCTTGAGGTCCAAACCCATCTGCTTCTTCTACTTTTTGTAATGAACCCAGTCAGGAAGATACTCAGTAGACGTTGCTGTTCCCATTGTCTCAGATCTGTACGAAGTCTCCAGTTAACGTGAAAATGACATCCCCTGGCTGACAAGAGCACGATCACTGTCTCTCAATATGTCGATCGTGTCAAGTGTCATTTTCACGTCAACTGGGGACTATGTACAGAGATCTGAGACTATTGCAACTTCAACGTCTGCGGAGTATCATCTGATACTATTGGAACTTCAACGTCTGCGTAGTATCTTCCTGACTGGTGGGTTCATTACATTTTTTTCTTCTCTTTGTTTTCTATGAAGGCCGATCAAGACCTATAAGAAGGGGGGGGGGGGGGGAATATGAGCAGTTACGCAGGCTCCATGTCTGGTGGGGCCCTTCCATCAATTCGTGTAAGTTTCGGCGGCATGATGACTCCCTGGTAACAATACTTGAGGGCAATAAGTGGTATCCAGGTTGTCATGTTTTCGTATTTTATATTTTGTCCCCTCCCCCCTCCCCCCTCCACCCTCTTCAACCCCTGGTTTTGCCTGAAGGCCTGGATGCATGTGGTATGGGCATTACATGCTGCAACACAACGGCCACTCACTGGTCTTGATCTAGATATAGCCTGCCAGGACAAGGCATGGTTGTACAGGGTGCAGACATGCCTGACAGCTTAGCTTAGCTGCTTCTTGACTGTCTACGTTGCAGTGTGTGCTGTCAGGCCTGCCCATGGCCCCTTTGGGAGCACTACTTGACGGAAGCAAGAGCCATGCTTTGTGGGAGCCATAATCTACGATGAGGTTTTACAGACAAACAGAGACTGCACTCTAGCAGATGTCACTCAATCTATCATGATTATCCAGAATGGGTGGGTGGGTGGATGGATAGATGGGTCGACGTTTAGATGGACAGAAGTGTGCTAATGGTGATGATTTGCTTTCTGTGTGTGTGTGTGTGTGTGTGTGTGTGTGTGTGTGTGTGTGTGTGTGTGTGTGTGTGTGTGNTGTGTGTGTGTGTGTGTGTGTGTGTGTGTGTGTGTGTGAGAGAGAGAGAGAGAGAGAGAGAGAGAGAGAGAGAGAGAGAGAGAGAGAGTGTTGGTGTTTGGGTTCCCCTTGTATTGGAATGTGTTGACAGGCAGTGGGATTATGTTTGTGAAGAATGGTGTTTGTCAGGGTGAAGCATTTGAGAACATCTATGCAGGTCAGTATTTTCCGGCTGCGTCGATGTACACCCTTCCGACGCAGACAGAAGGGTGCACGGTATCTTTCAATTTTGGGCCAGAATTTTGGCTGCCTCCCAAAATAATGAAGGATGGCGTGGAGCTCGTGTATCAACCAATGTCAAAAGCCCCGTCGTTCGTACACCCCGCTTCCCTGAATCCAGAGAATCCACTGGAGAACAACGGAAGCAGAGAGGTTAGTGACGTGGCAAATGGCAGGCAGTGGGCCATCGAGAACACATGTGCAGCACCTGTCTCGGGGGCGCGATCTGGTATGGTGGCAGCCGTGGCACAAGAGAGAACTTCGGCAGCATCGGGATGGAACACTGCATCAGGTGACACTTGTAGCAATGGGACCAGGACAAGAGGTGGTCCCAAGAGACGGAGTTGGCAGCGAGGAGAGAGCAAGATGAAGGGTGGCGCTGGCATTGGTGAAGGGTCGACAGGGTGGGAAGGGGAAGAGGATGAAAGTGTAGGGAGGGCAGAGAGAGAGGTGGAGAATGGAGGGGCGGTAGGAGGACGAAGGAGAGATAGGATGATGGCTGGAGATCCTCCACCAAGGAAAGGGGGTGTGGTGGGGGGCCTGAGAAGGGTGGTGGGAGGTGGAGGCCAGCACAACAGGATAAGAGAGGAAGTCTCCTTTGGGATGGAGCGGCCTAGCAGAGGAGCCGCAGGAGCCAGAGGAGCAGGTACCCGCAATGGGCCACGAGGATCGTTGGAAGTGACGATGCCAGCGGCCGGGAAATCAAAGCTTAGAAGCGCCAACGTGATGGACAGAGCACTGGGTGTCGTCAGCAAGAAGGCCCTCGGGAAAGCTGTGGGCAAGGGTAGGGGAGTGACTGGTGGCGGTGGTGGGTTGAAGACAAAGGGATTGGTACGGAATTTGCAAGAGCATGGGCTGAAAGTGAAGGGGCTGAAGCGCGTGGGAGTCAAATAGTGACAGCGTTGCTCACGATGGGCAAAGGGATGGTAATGGATGGGGCACCCGAGCCCCTGTGTGGTGGTGGTGCTGCTGTACACGGGTGGGGATTGGGGCAGAAGGCTGAGGGCTGGGGTTTTGACCATGCATGCTGTAACCGGTCCGGCCAGGGTCCGGGTGCTGGGGGTGGGAGTGAGTCCGTAGGTAGGTGTTTGGGAGGTAGAGAAGATGGGTTGTGGGGTCCCTACCACATGGGGAATGTAAATGATATTCCACAGCTTCCTGAGGAGGAGAACCAAATCATGTCATCTGTCTTTCAGCAGGACAACGGTGCTGTCCTTTCAGACAGTTGAATGACATTTGGTTCACCTGCTTGTCCCTGGAAGAAACTTTCCATATTATAAACTGATAGAATATTCTGTTGTTCATTTCAATTCTATTCAATAATTCCATTTTAATTCCCAGATCGTGAAAAACTAGACCCCGGTGCAGTTTACTTTGTTTTCCCCCCGCCTCACCTTTCGTCTTCGTTTTCCTTCTACTTGTCGCTGTCCTCCTCCTCGTCTCTTGCTCGTATTGTTGTTGCTTCGATCGTGGCTGTTGCAGCTCACCTTCCTCCGCCTCCCGCCTCCCCCTGCTCCTGCTCTTATTGTTGATGCTCCTGCTGTGGCTGTTGCATCTTCTTTTCCTCCTCCCCCCCTCTCCTCCTCCACCCCTCTTTCTCCTCTTCCTCCTCTAAGACTTATTATTGTTGCTCCTGCTGTGGCTGTTGCAGCTTAACCTCCTCCTCCTCCTCCCCCCCGTCCTCCTGTTCCGTCCCCTCTTCCTCCTCCTCCTCCTCCTCCTCCTCCTCCTCCTCCTCAGCCCCCTCCTCCTCCTCCTCTTCCTCAACCTGGAGGTCCAGCTCAAGGTTCCAGAGAAAGAGGAAAGAGACTTGTTCATGGCTCACTCCTTGCATGTGTTTTGTGTTGGGAGCAGCTTGTCAAGGGTATACTAGCTTGGCGCCCGTGGTGCCGGCGGTGCGGGCATAAAAAATCACGACAAAGTACTCGCACAGACGCAAATGGATATACAGAGCACAACACACTCAACATGCACTCAAAACAGACTGCAAGTAACTCAAACAGTTTGGCAACAACAAACTTCAAACAGTCTCAGAACAAAATTGTTTCGACTCTTTTTTTTTTTTTTTTTTTTTAAACAGTCCGTGCTGATGCTAGGGATGCTGATAGGAGCAGACACCACTAGCACCCCCCGAGAGGCTCCATCTATTGGTGGGGAGCAACACCTGCTGGAAACCGGGTCCAGCGTCCCTGATAACATTGTAAATGTGTGATGATACCCTGCCAGCATTGATTACCGTGGTCCTCACGGGATTTACTGAGCAAGGCCGAGGGTGACAGGGATAGGGACTAATGTCTTGGGCCCGGGGGGCCACTGGGCTCCATGGCATTTGGGCCTTCCCTCCCCCTCTTTGTGACTAGTAATGAGACAACACTGAGCCAACGTAGAGAGAGCTGAATAGTATCCAGACCCCTCCTTGCAGGATTTCCACCATTGCCACCGGGTGAGGGGGGAAGGGGTCTCGGAAGCGCCAGTCTGAGTGGGATCCCAGGGTCGACGGTCATCCATTCATGAAAATGTAGCCTGTAGTCCCGCTTTATCTCTGTGGGGGGGTCTTCTTCCTCTGCCTTATGCTGATCCATCTGTCCACCTTCCAACCATGTCACCTTGGCCATCTATCCTCCTCTTTTCCCTCCTAACCACCCTTTGCAGAAACGAGAAATGATCCGGTCCGCATCTTTTTTTAAATTCACCATCTCCAACTTCTCTTTCACCGCCTGCCACCGGGTGGTAATCTCGGCCTGCACTAGTTGCTTGAACTGTTTTGTAACCTCCCCCTCCTCCACCCTGGCTTTCTCCATTTCCAGCACGTATCTCCTCCACCATATTATCCATAGTATGGATCTCCTTCCCTGGCGAAAGAGGTTTGAAGCGCATTCGTCTTCTGTGAAGTTTGGACAGTGCCCAAGTAGTAGAATCGCTCTCCAGTCCCAGGGCAATGGTGAGTCAATGGTAATTCTGGAAACATCTGCCGTCATATTCTATCCCACCATCGCCATAGCAACACTGAAGATGGGCACTGCATGAAGACGTGCTCTATTGTCTCTGCTTTCCTTTGTGGGGGGAAACTGGATATACACCCTCGGCCAATCGTTGGTGGGTAGGCAACAGTGTGCTATTTGCCATTGTAAGGAGGAGATCTTGGCTGGTCTCAACTTATAGTTTTGGAACCATTGGATCGATGTTAGCCGGCACGTGTCCACGTTTAGCTGGCGCTGCCGCCTATCCTCCACCATCCTGGTCCTCAGCATCCTGTATGCCGTTTTTTGCCTTCAGGTTGGCCAGTTGCACCTCCCTCTGAAGCCTCTGAGGCCTCTGAGGCCTCCCCCTTCCTTGGGGTCCTGTACTGCCCCGCCTCCACCCCCATTCCTCCGGGCCCAGGTGCAATTCTGCAATCGAAGATCCCGGTCTGAACGCCCTCCACCCTGTGTCTTCCTCCAGCAACCCTAATACGGAAGACTCCCTTTTTTTCATTCCATTCGAAAGGCTGTCTGCCGCCAATTAAGTGGTTTTCCCTCCCTAGTGCGAAGTATTCTATCAGCACCTCAGCCTGCCCCACCAGATGAACCCGCCCCACCTTGTCCCTCATCCCTGTCAGACCTACCCAGTCCCCTTCCTCCAGGCGAGGCCCTTTTCTCAGAATGGTGTACCATCCCAATGGGAGGCTCTCTATCAGTCCCTCCAGTACTCCCTGAGTCTGGTGGCAATAGCATAACCACCCTTTCATTCTTTCCGTGCTTTTCCAGTCTCCTGCTTTCTCATCCCACAGGTCTCCCACCCGTAACATGCCACGTTTCACCCATCTTTTCCATGGGGGGTCAGAACTGCATCTCACTTGCCCGTGGGTGTCGGTGATCCACTTGTTGCCAAAGAGGGAAGACTTCCTCCCACCTTTCTGGCATTGGTCTAGAGGGTAATGGGAGTTTCCTCCATGCTTTTAGGAGGCGGGGCCAGAACTCTTCCACTAGCTTCCCGTTCCTGTGTTTCCACGGAATACGCCAAAATCTATCGTCGAGCCACACCAGTGGGTCAATCTCAGGGTGGGTCTCTGGAGCGAGGTCAGTTATCTGTGTTAGGGCTAGCGGGGACCAGGGAGAGGAGAGCTCAAAGATCAAAATCTGAATCCAATGCATGATGAGTGCCTGGAGTTGGGTGGCAGGGTCTATGATCCCTAGGCCCCCCCCAGCCTTAGGCTGGATTATCGAGTCCCACGCTAGCCGGCTGATTGCATGCAGTGCTTTGCTGTTTCCTCTCCATAGGAAGGCGGCAAGCTGCCCTTTCAGGGTCTTAAGCCCTAGTTTGGACAGAGGCCACAACACCGACTTGTACCATAGAGTGGCCAACAGTACATTGTTTATCCCCAGGGCTCGTCTGAATAGTGGCGTGTGCTTGTTATCCCATCCTTGCAGCTTAGCCTGTGTCGGGACGGTGATCCATTCATCATTTGTAGCGGTTTTCCCTCCCGCGGTTATTAACGCCCCCAGCACCCGTAAGGCAGCATCCGGGGCTAATCATGAGATACACAAACACACACACACACACACACACACACACACACACACACACAGCTTGAAGTAGATTGACACAAACCCAGAAGAACTTGAAGTAGATTGACTCAAACCCAGAAGAAAGAGGAGGAGAGAGAGAAAGAAAGACAGCGAGAAAGGGAGGCAGAGAGAGAGAGAGAGAGAGAGAGAGAGAGAGAGAGAGAGAGAGAGAGAGAGAGAGAGAGAGAGAGAGAGAGAGAGAGAGAGTGTGTTGTGGTCTAAATGAGAAGTTGAGTCTTTTAAGTACTTGATTGATCTTTGNAGAGAGAGAGAGAGAGAGAGAGAGAGAGAGAGAGAGAGAGAGAGAGAGAGAGAGAGAGAGAGAATGTGTTGTGCTCTATATGTCAAGTTGAGTCTTTTAAGTACTTGATTGATCTTTGTCGTGGGTTTTTATGCGGGCGTAGGCCGCATCGCCCGCATCGTCTTCTAAGCTAGTGTATATTGGCGCCCTCTTTTTCCTGCCCTCTTTCTCACTGTGTGTGTGTGTGTGTGCAAGAGGACCAATCGCATCGCCAGATGCACTCAGATTCTTCGAACATGTCTGTAGCAGGACTAATCACAGGCCAGATGCATTCTGCTGAATCAATCTTGTGCTGTGAGTGATACTAATACAGACATGTTTGAAGAATCGAATGCATCTGGCAACGTGATTGGTCCTGATGCATTGACAGTGAGAGAGAGAGAGAAGAATGCATCTGGCGCTGTGATCAGTCCCTTTTTTTCTATACAACGATGGCATGTTGGAAAAATCTGAATGCATCTGGAGAGAGAGAGAGAGAGAGAGAGAGAGAGAGAGAGAGAGAGAGAGAGAGAGAGAGAGAGAGAGAGGGAGGGAGAGTTGTGCTCTAGATGTCCGTTTGAGTCTCTGTAAGTACTTGACTGATCTTTGTTGTGCTTTTTTATGTGGGTGTAGCCCGCACTGTCGGCCTCGGGCGCAGAGCTAGTGTATATTGCCGCCCTCTTTTTCCTGCCCTCTCTCACTCTGTGTGTGTGTGTGTGTGTGTGTGTGTGTGTGTGTGTGTGTGCATCAGGGCCAATCGCGTCGCCAGATGCATTCAGATCATACTTGTGGCGCATATGTGCGGTGCGCGGGGCACAATGCGCGGAAAAAAAAAGAAAAAAGAAGAAGAAGAAAGAAAGAAACAAAGAAACAAAGAAACAAAGAATGGAACTTAAAGAACGAAAGAGGCGTGATGTGTGTATACACGAGAGAGAGAGAGAGAGAGAGAGAGAGAGAGAGAGAGAGAGAGAGAGAGAGAGAGAGAGAGAGCAGTAAGAGCAGTCTGAGACACAGCCACGGAAGTGCTACTCGTTTTTTTTTTTTTTTTACTATATATATTCTTCTCTCAAATTCTTTCCACTTCACTTCCTACCTACTCCTAAGGCTATATAGAGGGGACCCCTGCAAGTGTGGCTACCTCTCATGATGAAAGCGATATTGCATGTTGGCCCTTGCCCAGTGGTTAAATCACCACTGTACCCGGCGCTGGAAATTTGGGGGACCGTAGCACAGGTTCATGAGGCTACTGGAAGCATAGTGTGGAGAGCCTGTACAACGGCGACAATGGCAAATGCACTGAGTTGTCGTCACGACCTATCTCGTGGTTGAAACAATTGATCTTTATTTTTGAAATATTTTACCTGCAAACATCACAACCAAATCTACAGAACCTCCGAGTTGCAAAGTTTTTCACATATTCTTCTGAGCGTGAAAAATCGCTGAAATTGGTGTACTTCTCCCGTTGGCCCACAAGTTGCAGAGTGGAAAAATGGGGAATGTGACGAATTGGTGTGGCATTTTATTTCATGGGCTAAATCAGCCTAAATGTTTATTTTTTCCCCATTTTTCTGGTATTTTTCCTGGAAAGATCACGATCTAATCTACAGGATCTCAAATTTTCAGATTTTTTTTATTTTATTTTCTGGTGTGAAGAATCCCCAAATTTGGCACGTGAAAATTGCAGGACCGGACCTGCCTGCGCGTGCTGGTCGGCGTCCCCCCTAAAGCCTTGCTCCGAACGCACTGGAATGACACTTTTTGGTGCCGCGTAGAGTGGTGGTTTAAGGTGCAGGGGTTTGGGGCTGCCAGTGGGGGTTGGCTAGCGCAAAGACCAAGTGTTTTGTGAGAAGCTGCGCCTCCCTTTTTCATTGTCCCCCGACCCTCATCGAGTAGCAGCAGTGTCTAAGGCCAACACTCTCCCACACATCCAGTGAATCCACTCACGCCCACACTCACAACGGTCTTGGCTAAAAACCCCACTAATACGGACGAGATGTATCAAGCGGACTATCACAGCTGGTTGGCCAGCAGTCATGGGGCTCAAACCCACAACCTCCTGAATGCCACTTGCATGCCTGACCAACTGAGCTAGGCCGCTAGATTTTTTTATTATTATTATTATTATTTTTTGACCGAAGTCTTGCTCGATTTCTTTTCACCGAAGCAGCAGCATTGATACGTCACATCAAAAGGTTGTTGCAGGTGGAGACAAGTATCATCATCACCTCAACACAACCACGAAGTCCCACAACGACCATCACTTTTCACCGCCAGTCTCTCTACCTCCTCCCTTGCTTTAAGATAGATAAAACTTCATAAAAGAGCTTGCTTGAATGGAAAAATTCCCCTCACAAGGAAAACAGCACTATTTTCTTCTCTCAGTAAACATCTTTCCTCACAAAAGAGCAAAAACAGCTTCCATTTCTTCATTAACTCGAAGCGAAGAGCCAAAACTGCCTCCATTTCATCATTAACTCGAAGTGCTAAACGTATGCTCACTCTCCCATCTTTTCACCAAAAAAAGGTTAATGGCCGCCAAGCTGGTGCACACTATTCCACTCCCCACAAAGTATTCCTCATCATAGCCAGCCAAGACGAGGCACTTTCTGCATGCTGATGTGAACTGATGGTTGCAGCCCAGAACTTTGGGGGGCCGGGGAGAGAGAGAGAGAGAGAGAGAGAGAGAGAGAGAGAGAGAGAGAGAGAGAGCTGATGTGAACTCATGGTTGCATCCCAGAACTTTGTGTGTGTGGAGAGAGAGGCAGAGAGCACTTTCTAAGGATCTGGTTGGCTGTAATGGCATGGCAGTGTGGTTTTCACATGAGCACTGTAGTGGACAGCTCAGCTGTGTCATCATATTATTAGACGTTTTTTGCGCTTTTTTCAAGTTTTGTGAACCGGGGAAGCAAAGCATAAAAGTTGCGTTTCCTCTGTGTTGGGAGAAAGTGGCCAGATTCCTAGCTGCTTCCTGTGCACGAGTTGAGATATGTGAGATGTGGTGTTCTCCAATCTATCGTTACCACCACCAGGATAGTGGTCTTGCACAAAGGGCCTTTAAAAAAAAAAAAAAAAAAGAGAGAGTGAAGTATTGCACTCTGATCTAGAGGGAGACCTGTGGACCGGGAGGGAGGTGTGGGAGGAGGAGAAGCGGGAGAAGGAGCGGGAGGAGCTGCAGGAGTGGGGAGGAGCTGGAGGAGTGGGAGGAAGAGTGGGAGAAGCAACGGGAGAGGGAGGAGGAGCAGGAGGGGGAGTGGGAGAAGGAGAGGGAGGAGTGGGAGGAGCGGGAGGAGGAGCAGGAGGAGGACGAAGTTGTGGTGGGGGAGCATCGGGAGGTCAGTCTCTCTCTCTCTCTCTCTCTCTCTCTCTCTCTCTCTCTCTCTCTGTGGCTAGCCACGTGGCGGGCCAGGAGG